TGGTACTGCGCCACATATTTTCTCCTGGAAGCGTTCGTGTTCGTGTACAAAGGTGAGTCCTTCGCTCCAGAACTCTTCCCGATCCCGCCGGGACGGGCGGGAATGTGGTGCTGAGGGCGGTGCTTTTCCTGCAGTGCTGCTCCTGCCCTATCCCGTCTCCAACTTGGTGCTGGACGTGGTGCTGCTCCTCCTCTACCTCGGCATTGAGGCCACACGCATCTTCTTCGGTGAGTGTCCCTGAATGCCAGAGGCTCCACAGGGAGTGCAGAGTCCCGGGACACCCCCAAAGACACCCCTGGATGTTCAGGCTGAATGGGGCAGGCAGCAACCTGGGCTAGAGGAGGGTGTCCCTGCCCACGGGAACGGGACTTTTAATTCCCCACCCATGATTTCCATGGTATGATCCCAACTCTGTGCTCCAAAGGCTCCAAGGGGAACCTGTGCCAGCGGAAGGTGCCGCTGTCCCTCAGCCTGGCACTTACAGTGCCGGCAGCCGCGCTGGCCGTGTACTACCTGCTGCTCCAGACATATTCCCTGCGCCTGGAAGCGTTCCTGAGCGCCATCCTGCTCCTCTTCTACGGCCTGGAGCTGCTCCTGGGCGTCCTGGCGCTCCTCTCCTTCTCCAGGTGCTGCATCCCAGGAACTGGGGGAGCCGGCGCGGGAGCTGCCAGGTTGGTTTGGCACCCACACATCCCTGTCTCTGTCCTTTCCCACAGCACGGATCCCTACTGAGGACACGGCCCAGGGACACAGGGGAGCATCACCCGTGCCAGTTCCACTTCCCAGCCCCGGGAAGGGGGAGGATCCCTCCTTCCCCACTGCCCATTTCACCTGGTGCCACCTGGACACATCCCTCCCACCTTTGTCACTTCTATGAGGACATATCCCTCCCATTTTTCCTGCTTCCCACTTCACCAGGGACCTGGTGCCACATATTCACCCCTCCCTTTTCCCACTGCCCCCTGGACATATCCCTCCCACCTTTCCCATTCTCTAATCCACTTGGACTCCTCAGAGCTTGAGCCAGCTCAAGGTATGAAGAATCCTTTTTTTTTCTACAACCTTCTTCCAGAATAATTCACTATTTTCCAATAAATATTTATTTTTACTTGGTGCCCAGGAATGTGGGTCCCCCCTGGGAATGCTCAGGTGCTTCCAGCACCTCAGAGCCAGTTTGGGAAGCACAGGAACCCATTGGAGGAGGAAAAGGGTGAGGGACAACAGGTGCACAGACCTCCCCAAATCCCTCCCATTCCCTCATTATCCCAAATCCCACTGTAGGAAGGCAACAGGAGCTCTGTGTAAAAGACTGACAACGTCATCTGAGTTTATTACACAATTCCAACCTATCCAAAGACAAATCTAATCACTGCGAGCAGGAGGGGCGGCGCCTCGCCGGGGCTTCCAGGGATTTGCTCTGCAATTAGGGGGGAATCTTTTCCCCCTTCCACTATTTGGAAAGAAACTAAAAATCTGTGGCGGTAAGTAAAAAAAAACCCGGAGCTCTCCTGCCGAGTGCTCCCACCTCGTGGGGCTTGGGAAAATCGGGGTGGTTTTTCCTGAATTTAGGTTATTTCAACTTAAAAAGACTTCCAGGGCCTGGGTTTTCCTACCCAAACGTGATTCCAGCCCTGGAAGTCACCCAGTGTGTCCCAGCTCATCCTGACCCTCCTGGGCTCTCCCTCCCTCTCCTTCTTGGGATTCTGGGGGGACACAAGGGGGTCACAGCCTGCCCTGCCTCTTCCGCTTCCTCTAAAACAAGGAAGGCTCTGCGGGAGGGGCCGGAGCTGCCATCTGCGTGGGAATGCTGCTGTGGGGAATGTCGGGAGAGAGAGGATGACCCCCAACCCAGCTCCAGCCCCTTTTTCCCAGCTCCTGGAGGGTGAAGGGCCAAAGGAGGGGCGTGGCACAGTGTCCCACCAGGGCGATGGGGACGTGAGTGTCCCCAGGCAATGCAGAGGACGGCACGTGGCTCCTGATCCCAGGATCGGGAGCTGTGCATCTCCAAGCCCCCGAGCTGCACAGGGAGGGCTCCGTCTCCTCTGTTCCCCCCCGGACTGGGAAGGGCTCACAAACCTCCCTCCATGGAATAAAAGCACCATTTCTCTTTGGGTCCGAGTATCCACGGAGCGGAGCGGGATGGCCCCAGGAAGCAGCAGCAGTGGTGGGGGGGATTCCCAAGGCCACGAGGTGCGGGCGGGGGTCCCGCCCGGAGGGGGCTGCGGTGGCGAGGAAGGGACCGGGATGGGGCGGAGCAGCCTCGGGCACGGCATCCTGGTCGAGGTGAGGAGATAGAGTCCATTAAAAACCACTTCCTGCCAAATTCCTGTCGGGAGAGAGGAGAGGAATGGTGGGAGCGCCCTTCCCTCATCCCTCATGCTTCCAGGGGATTCCCCAGCCTCCCACCTGTCTCAGTGGTGCCGGTCCCTGTCTCTGTCCCTGTCCCGATGCCGCTCGTGCTCCCGGCTGCGCTCTGGGAAATAATCCTCATGCCGATCGTCGCTGTGGAGCAGATCCCGGTGCCGCCGGCTGCTCTCGCGGGACCGGCTGGGAGAGCGCTCCCGGGATCGGTGCCTTTTCCTGGGGGAGAAGAGGAGACAGAACCCAAAGAGTGATTTTTTAGCCGCTCACCTGCAGGGAGGATCCCCTTCTCTGGATCCAGGGGGATACCTGGAGCTGCTGCTGGAGCTGCTGCTGTAGGATTTGGCCTCAATTCCATGCAGGCAATCCTTGAGGGAAGAGAGGAGGACGCGGCACCGCTCGTCGCTGGCCACGCGCGACTGCTTGATGACAGCGATGGCTGTGAGCAGCGTCTCGATGGCGTTGCTGTAATCCCCTGAGGAGCAGAGCAGGGGGTCAGGAGCGGGAATCCATCCCTGGACGGGGGACATGAGGGACACGAGAAGTACCTGCGCTGGCGCCGGACACCGCCTTGGAAATGGCGCTGCTGGAGATGGCGCGGTTGCGGTTCATGATCTCCTCAAACTCGCCTTCGCTCAAGGCCGGGATCGGCGGG